CAAACTTGACTGTGCATAAGAATGTCCTGGAAGGCCCCACCCCCAGACTTCCAGATGCAGCAGGTCTGGGGTGGGGCCTGAAAACGCGCACTTCTTACAAGCCCCCAGCTGACGCTAATGCTGCGCATCCCGAGACCCCACTTTGAAAACCACTGCTCAAGTGGGGCTTCATGGTTCTTAGCTTAGACTGTTCATTGGGAACACCTGAAGAGTTGTTTTTTCAGTGACTGATGCCTGAGCCTCACTCCCAGGGATTCTGGTTAAATTGCTACAGGGTGCAGCCTAGACACTGGGCGTTTTTTTCTTAAAAAGTATCTGTTTTGGCATCTTTGGTTTTTCTTCTTTTTTTTTATTGATGTGTAGTTGATTTATAGTGTGTTAATTTCTGGTGTACAGCATAGTGATTCAGTTATATATATATTCCTTTTCATACTCTTTTTCACTAAAAGCTATTACAAGCTATTGAACATAGTTCCCTGTGCTGTACAGTAGGACCTTGTTGTTTATCTGTTTTATATACAGTAGTTAGTATCTGCAAATCCCCACCTCCCAGTTTATCCCTCTCCACCCTCTTTCCCCTCTGGTAACCATAAGTTTGTTTTCTATGGCTGTGAGTCTATTTTTATTCTGTAAATAAGTTCACTTACATCCTTTTTTTTTCTTGGATTCCATATATAATTGATATTATATAGTATTTTTCTTTCTCTTGCTGGCTTACTTAGTATGATGATCTCCAGGTCCATCCATGTTGCAGCAAATGATATTATTTCATTCTAAGTAGTGTTCCATTGTATAAATACACCACAACTTCTTTATCCAGTCATCTGTCAATGGACATTTAGGTTGTTTCCATGTCTTGGCTATTGTAAATAGTGCTGCTGTGAACATTGGGGTGCACGTGTCTTTTCAAATTCGAATTCCCTCTGGATATATGCCCAGGAGTGGGATTGCTGGATCATAGGATAGGTCCACCTTCATTTTTTAAAGGAAACTCCATGCTGGCTCCGTAATGGTTGCACCAGACTGTGTTCCCACCAACAGACACTGGGCATTTTTAAAGCTCCGGGTGTGTGCTTCTTTTGTGCAACTGAATACCAGCCAAATACCAATTAATTATATTAGGAACACAGGCAAAGGAGCCATTTTGGCATTTCTTAAATTTCTTAAATTTATGAAAATTATTTCCTAATATTTCCTATTTTCTAGTAAGATCAGGTAGGTCAGCCAACAAAAAGTGTCTCAGAGGCTCTCTGTCCTTAAAATAGGTTTTTGTTTAAACCATAATCCCCATCGTGTTTCATGGGGAGAGGGACTGACCGTGTGGATTCTGTATTGAGATGCATCATTGTGTGTGTCCTCGTGTGTGTGGGAATATGTAGTCGATCCATTTGGAAGATCAGTATGAGAGTTGGTGATTACTATCTAAGAGGGCAGATGCTGAAAAGACGAAGAGACACTATTTCCAACACAAGGCAAGAGGAAGCAGGAAAAACCCACACATTTGTTGACTTCCTACCATGTACCAGATGCTGTGATAGGTGCTTCGTAGACAGGATTTCATTTAATGCTGACAACGGAAGGAACAGTAAGACATCACTATCTCTGTTTCATAGCTAAGGGATCCGGGACTCAGAAAGAGC